TGAGCACCAATTTCGTATTGGAAGACTCTCCATACAAGGGTTGTGGTTTTACTGTCAGGTATGAATCTCTTTGCTTCATGCTAGCTACTATTTCTATATACTCTTTTGCTTAAAAGGCTCTTTCATGTGTAGCAGCCCACGATGGCGTCCATGCAAGCTTTGTCTGATGTGACTCAGAAAGCTTCAGCTAATGATTTTGCAGGTTCTGCAGTTCTTAATCTCTTGCAGAGTCAGGTGATTATTTTTCTAGTATTAGTCAATAAATACTATTTTTGAGGTTGCTTCCATTTAAGCTTGCTTCTTTATCATTCCCAAATATTTGATGCTTTCTTCCCTTGTCCAAATGTGGTTTTTTGTAATGCCCAGGCTAAAGCCATGGCTGGCGACAATGCAGTGAGGTCATTACTGGAAAAGATGACCCACTATGCGAGTAATGCATATCTGAGCATATTGGAAAGGTATGCCTAGAATTGGCTTGTCTTGATGACATCTATAGATATCCTGAGTGATTTTCTCTCGATAACCTGTACTTCATGTGAAAGAAACATTTTGGTTGTTTCTTCTCCTTTCTAGAAGATAGTTTATTGTCCTTTAGATTGTAAGTTCTTTTATTTCTGATATACTTTTTTTATTAGAAAAAACAAATCGAATATTTTGCTTTAGCTGTGATTTCTTAGATACACAGGTAAGTTAACAAAATGTAACCCCTCAGTGGGACATCTAAGTCAAGGGCCACTATAATTTAGCACGATCCAGCAATGTTAACCTAACCTCTAATAGACTGCTTCTCAACATCAATGCCAGCTCTGTCGGTTTTACTTAAGTTACTGAAACACAGTAGCATTAAAATCACATTAATGAATTTATTGATCTCCTATGGCATAAAAGTATAATATCATTTTCCAAACTGTAAATGGGAAATTAAATCCATATCACCCCCTGATAAATTAGACCTTTTTCAGCTGGCCCACAGTAACATACAGCAGTAAAGAATATCCACTAGTGAGATAAGGAGGAAAGGAGAAAGAGGATTTTCCTGCCAAATTCCTTGACATGTAAATTAAGTTTTTAGTTCATCAGTGACATTGATAGAAATCACCTAATATGATTTCTCCAATGATCATCAAAACCTTTATATGACCTTGTCCGAGAAGCTCCGACTAGGTTGTCAGGAACCTGTCCTGATATGGAAGAAAAAAAGGAAGAAGAAGAAGGAAAGGAAGTAAAAGAATTGAAGAAGCACAACAAAGCTGTAGAGAAAGAAATTCAATATTCATTCATATTTTTCCTTGATACAAAATCCATTCTAACACCACCTTCTACAGTTGAAAAGTAATTAGTTGAAATTAATTTCTAAGTAATCAAAACAACCGAATTAATTATTTCTTATAAATTCTAACTACTATTAATAGGGTCTTGACAATACCTTCCCCATGAAAGCATCCTTGTCCTCAAGGATGTGTATAGCCATAAAGCACAGTACAAAGAAAAAATCCTAAGGGATCCACTACCATTTGAAATTGCTAATATCAATTAATGCTATTTGATCAGTTCAAGCAACAATCCTTTATGACGTGATATTTAACATATAACCAAACATCC